GACTGAGGCTTTTGTAAAGGCTAGAGCTGCTTAGTAGAACGCTATAGTAAAGGCGTTGTTAGGGAAACTGTTAAGGGGAGAGAGACGTAAAATAGCTCCTGAATTTGATACGGTAGTAACGAGGGACGAGGTACAATGAGCCCCTGGGCTTTCTAAGGACTAGATGACTAGAAAACTGTCTGGGGACGGATCTAACGATCGTGATCCTTAGATCCTCAGGAATCTTCCGAAAAACTACTGTCTCTCCAAAAAGGATCGCGGCGAAAGTTACCATTGAACACTAACGTCTTGGCAGAATAGTCCAGCTAACATGCTTGTATTTTGAAGACTGGAAAACAAAGCTAATATTTATTTTAATAAATCACGAAGGAAACGATTAAAAAATATGTCATTGTTCGCAATCACAATATTTAAATGTACTGTTATTCTGCTAACACTCCCCTTCTCCCAAGCGAGTTTTCGTTTTACAAAACCTCCGGAGGTTTTCCAAGATGTAAGTTTGCTTTGGACGGGGCTGAAGCCCTATTCTACGAGTTTACTTTGATTCGTCTAATTATGTTGCAGTAACCTTTGTGGAAGTTACTTAAGGTTCGGTAAGTCCCATACAGCCCTAAACAACATTACAGACTTCTGCTTGGATTATTTCATCTTGTCAACGTGCTTCCTTTAAAAAGCATTATCCATCCTTTCCCAGTTGCTAATTTATCCTGGAGGGTCGCTGTAGCCGGACCCTTATCCGGCGGAACAGGGTACAAGGCGTGTCTACAGTCTGGGCGAGGCGCGCACAGACACATTCACTCGCATGCATACGGCGTGCAGTTCGGAGACTGCAATTAGTCTGGTCTGCATGTCTTTGGACTGTGGGATTAAATCGGGGTTCATGCCAGGTCCCCACAGACAGAGCCACATTCGAACCCAGGACCCTGGAGCTGTGAAGCCACCATGCTTCCCCAGAAGGTATCCGTTATATTAATATACAATTTACTCTTTTCACCTCTTTTCTAAAGCTCACCTCTTTTTCCAACCAAGAAACATGGAATACAGCTGATCCTTCTTTATATGGTCTGACCCCAGAAGGCGCTGAAAATCTTTTGGCAACTAATTGATCAAAAAGAGTGTATCTAGCCTTCATTCTTGACTGGGAGATGCAAGCTTGAAATAGTTTTTTTAGATAAATATATTTAGGTTTATATATTAGAAACATGCTTAGCCTCTTTGAAGAAAAGATGGAAATGGGCATTAGATGTTTCTTACATAGCCTGCATTTTATTTTTAAAACACAGTGAAACAATCATAAATTCTTCCATTTTATGATCTGATGTACTGTTTAAGAAAACGCAACTATATTGCAAGAGAGGCTTCGATCCGTTAGCTGCTAACTACTGAATGAGCAAGACGGGGACCACAGCCCCCTCTCGTTGGTAAAATTAAAATTCTGATTTCTCACGAAATCTCTGGTTGTTCCTTATTTGGCCATTCTGTTTTAATGGTTTCTGTCCTGCGTACACTACTTGTGACGTGGTGCTGTTATCTCAAGAGCCCTTCCAATTTCATGTTCTGTACATACAAACTTTGTGTGACCTTGCAGCATAACAGACTGAGCTATAGCAACAGGACATTCTGAACACATCACGCCCTGCAATGAAATGCAGATTGATTAGCTGTTGCTTGATTTCTAATAGCTTTACGGAGGAAAATAAAATAATCTAGAATGAATGGCCAAGGTTAAGTCATTAAAATAAAAATCGGGGTTCTGAATTTATGAGGAGTGGCGGACAACTTCATGTACAAAAGGAACTTCCGTGCTCCACCAGGAGATTTATAACTCCTCAATTCAAGATTCTCTTCTTACTCATGAGATTCTACTTTGCTGAGGGCCCACTCAAGTGTATGAGTGTCAATTGAATTGTAAGGGCACTATTCCAAGAAAAGAGAATGTAAATTTGATTTTTTTTGTAGTGTTACCTAAATGGATACATAGAAGCAATTAAAGGTCTTTATAGGTAATTGCATTGTTAATTCAATAAGCAAGGTTTGTGTCCCTGTCGTAGGAGTATACTGCAAATGGTAAAGAAAGTGCAGAGTTTATTTTGTCCCAGGAAGTTGTGGGATTGTTTGTGTATCTACCCAGCTAAATCCATCTCATGCATTTCCTCACCTCCAGTCAAGCACAGCGCAATGATTCTCAGTCCCACTGGTTACGATTCTTACCTCCCTGACTGTTTGCAAAAGAAGATGATGGTACTTTAATACACACACGGGCTACAATATCAGCGGTCGGTTAATATTTCTGAACTTTCGAGGATGAAATAAGGGTTACATCACTTGCGGTGATGGGGGAGAGGTCTTCAAATGACAAAGCCAAGAGATAAAATCAGGTTTCGTTGGGTTTCGTTTGAAACTGGGGCCGGCCCTGGGCGAGTAGGCCGGTTCTGTAGACCTTCCTCCTGCCAGGCGAGGGTAACTAAGGCCAGCCTGCGAGGATGGAGGCTGCGCGCTGGGCTGGGGTAAATGATTTAAGATTTATCGGGTGACAGGAGGCGTGTGCAGTGCAGCTTGACCCCCACCGCCCCCTTGAACCTTGTGCAGCGCACCAGCGGGGGCGAGGCGGTGTAAGAGGGCCGGAACAGGACAGGGAAGCAGATGGCACTTCATTTGTCCCCCCCGTGAGTCCACTGTCATTCCGCCAGATTAATGCAAGCGGGCAGGTTAAAAAAATGAAGGGGGGGGGGTGGGCTGAAAAAACAATTAAGGAAGGGTCTAGGGAACAACAGGGCCACGTGCCACTGGGCCCCAGTCGTTTGCAATACAATGGGTGATCATCTTTCAATAGAGAAGCCAACTGTTGCAAATAACATGGGCCTACCCCACATTTCAAATTATTTCATGCCCTTGTTTACTTATGATTCAGCCAATGGTGAAGGAGAGAGTTTGGTCACCTGATGGGGTTTTTTTTTTTGGACCCTACAGTGCCTGGTCTCGCAAAATAACTGAATAGCAGTGGTTACCATGGAGATCCTAATTATTGCACTCTCCGTCTACAGTAGGAGTGTGGGGAAGATTGGAGAGGATTCAAGTGGGAGGGTCTCTCTTTTTAGCAGCCATCTCCATTTCCTTTACAAAGAAAAAGAGAGAGAGGGAGTACAGATTTCTCATTATGCCATAGGCACTCAAGTGGCAGGATTAGACGTTTAAGCGCTGCAGGAAAAGTGATTTGTTGGTTTTTATTTATTCAGTTCTTTTTTCTCTACCCAGCGGTAAAACAACGCATGTATAATAAGCCATGATATATGCCGTACACGTAGTTCGGTTGGCCCCTGCTACTTATTAGGCACGTGAAGTTTTAAAATGACTGCATTTAAATATCAGAAATATCAGATTTCTTCAAATAAAATTATTGTACTTTATTTTACTGTTGATTTATGATTATGGTTTTTGAATATTTTTAAAGCAACCATTAAGAATTTGAACTTGACCAACTTGAACTTTGCACTGGCACATAGAAAAATCACATTTAAGAACAAAATGGAAAAGAGCCATTCACCTAGCCCTCAAAATTAAAGATCAACAAGTGACCTCATAATGCAAAAGCTAAGCCTCTTTGCCTCTACAGTGATTCTAGCTCAGTCTGCTGACTTGTGTGAATGGCTTCAAAAGAAACCAATGCCAACTCAGTTTGAGAAGGCATGGATCTTCATAAACTCTGCTCAGAACCAGGGTGCAGGTCCTGAACATACTGTAACAGTACTTCCTCTGGTACCGCACAAACCTGCGTTAAGCCAGCTTGGAGCTCTTGCAAATCTGCACCTTTAAAAGAGGAGGAGTGAACACAACAGCAAATCACGGTTCCTTAAATGTGAAACACAGTGATGTTATCAAAACGATGGGAACCCGCCTTTCAATGCTTTAAAAATTCACACACAATATTCTTTTTCCTGAAAAACCAATAAACAAATTGGACATAAAATTACACACATACTGTATAAAGGTCGAAGAAAACACTGGGCCAGTTTAAAATGTGCATTTTAAACGGGATTCTTGAACCTTGCTCATGCTTACCTGCAGATTGCTGACCACAGACCCCTCCCAGCTTAGCGAGGATGAGCTCCCCAGTGACCTGCAGTCGCTGTCCTGGCTGACTTCAGTGGACGTCCCCCGACTGCAGCAGATGGCCACAGGCCGCCTGGACTTCAGCATGAGCTCCCAGAACGCCTTGCAGCAGCCAGGTAGCTGAACCTCAACACTGACACAGCACCACACCTGCATTGACTCAGGAAGATACTGTAGTTCAGTGTACTCTGACATATAGGATACTGCAATATCTACCAGCATGCTTTATTCTTCATAATAGAACTCACAAAAGCATTGTGATATTTTGCAAAAACAACTGCAACAGAAAAACAACATTTGGACACAATATTCCAAGTGTATTCTTGTACTAGGCTTGGTCAAAATTAAAATTTGGGGACACAGAGCGGGTGTCTCTAGAAATTAAAATTTGATTAAGGCCTTAATGGAAGAATTAGAGAAATATTTTAAGGTTCAGTTTACACTAAAACACGGGAAAAGACAAATTGACGTTTTCAGTTTTGTAAAGTGATCATCTTTGATTCTCAGCCCAGATGAACAACGTGAATGTAGCTGGAGGACAAGGGACCATGATTCACCTGCAGAGCAATATGCAGAACAGCATTCTGGGAATGAGTGCAATGGCAACACACAGTGGAAATGTAAGCATCACAGCAGATTTCTTTACAAGTGGATTGTATGGTGTGCAATTTGCAGCATACAGTGTGAACATTTTGTGTCTTTATTTGTACAGTATATGTGGACTTACTGGACACTCAGGGCTTAAACTAATGGCATAGGACATTTGAAAGGTGACATCTGGATATTAAAATAATGAAACTTGTTACACGAGTTTCAGGAATAAATCAGTACATTGTGCAAAGTAGGTATTCTATGACCAATTACAGAATCGTCTGGGACACTGATGCAATACATGAGCCCAGTACTGCATAATAGAAAATGTGTGCCGTTAAGCAATTGCAAATATACAGCACTTTCAATATAAAAAGAGAAGCATAAATATTGAAGGAATCCTCAAATAAGAATGCTCTGCTTTTTGTTTATTTACTGTAATGTGAATGTAATAAATGTAATTAATAGAACTGATGTAAAGTCCATAATTTTTCACAGATCCCACAGTACTCCATCAGTGGCCAGCCCTCCCCCGGATTCCAGTCCCCCCCTTCAGTCTACCAGCCCTCCGCTCAGCAAGTCTTCTCCATTGCCCAGGCCGGCCAGCAGGTACCACCTTCTACCAACAGGGTCCTGCCACTGGGGTGTGGCCCATGTAGAAAAGATCAGCAGAGAAGTGTGTCTACCCTGAGAAATTTGGGGGTTGAGATGTGTAGAACCAAGGTCTGTTTTAATACAAGACATTTCCCATGGAGCTGCTATTACAAACAGTGTACAGCAAAAATATAAGTTGTATTTTGTTCACAGTTGGAGTAATTTTCAAAAACATAATAGGTCAAAATGTGTTGCACTTAAATATAAAAAGTGCTTTTTTTATGTCTGAGGTGTCTGATTACAGTTGCCTAACACACCATTTCAGCACAGTGACAACTATGTATTTGCTGTAAATGCCATCAAATGTCTTGGTTTCTGTACATTTCTTCTAATGTTAGTTCAGTCATAGCTAGGATTTATCTGCTCTAGAGCTTTTGGTATTGACTTAATAATGGAACCCTATATAGATATTGAAGTCAAAGGGAAGAAACACCTGCACTGATGCTCAATCGATGACATTCCCTTCCCCAGTGTCTCACCCCTGTTATTATCCCTCCACAGTGCTCCCCAGCTGGTCTCTATAGTAACACATCCTACAGCAGCCAGAGCCCGTTCAGCCAGCCCCGCCTCGCCCCTCACAACAGCCAGGACCTGCAGCCCAAGTCCTACCCCAAGCCCATCTACTCCTACAGGTGAGGCCTCAGCGGCTTGTTGTCATCCCATTCAAGTGATTGCCCGCTGCTGGGATAAATAATCGCACTACAGCACGTGGCTGGGGACAGCTCTGAGAGGCTGGAACCTGCTGAAAGATGCCCAAGCTGCAGTAGAAAGGGCCGTCTTGTGCCTAGCTCACCTGTGACCGCTTGTTAACTGAATGGAATCAATTAATTTGCTCATGTGGTTATTCACAGAGAATGTTTCTCTGTGGGTCAGTTGACCAAAGACCAAAAAGTTGGTCATTCATATACAGTGGATTTAGGTAGCAGTTAAACTGGGGTAGCTGCCCGGGAAAAACTATAGTATATCTGAAGTATATGCAGAGTTCAATGGAGAGCTTGGTTTTCTTTTGCTTTTTGTCTGTGAAGTTTTTTTGCTTAATACATTTTGCTTTTTAAAATAGTTAAAAAAGGTTCAAAATCGGTCTTTTCCAAGTCTGATCACTCACTCAGTTTTCTCCACAAGTCAGAAGAAGCTGCTGTGAAGGTCACCTGGCGTCTGCGTGGTTTATAACGTAGAGATTTCCTTTTCAGTTGCCTGATTGCTATGGCTCTGAAGAACAGCAAGACCGGCAGCCTCCCAGTCAGCGAAATCTACAGCTTTATGAAGGAACACTTTCCCTACTTCAAGGTAAGGATGGGCGAGTACCTGACAGAAAGCAGGAAAACGAGGCAACGAGACAGGCCCCTGCAAGGACTCATCAAATACAGTAAGCAGAGAAGCGGGGGGGAGGTGACTCGAGGAATTGATGAAATATTGGATTGCTTCCATTTTTGCAGACGGCCCCAGATGGCTGGAAAAACTCAGTGCGGCACAACCTGTCCCTGAACAAGTGCTTCGAGAAGGTGGAAAACAAGATGAGCGGCTCCTCACGCAAGGGCTGCCTGTGGGCCCTCAACCCCGCCAAGATCGACAAGATGGAGGAGGAGATGCAGAAGTGGAAACGCAAAGACCTGCCGGCCATCCGGCGCAGCATGGCCAACCCAGGTGCGTCACGGCCCGGCTCTTCAGCAGATCGCCCGGGCCCAGAGGACACTGGGGCTCAGCTCTGTGATTCCACTACCAGCATGATGAATTCGAATTTAGAAACATACTTAAACTGCAATGGACTGGGGTCCCTTCCAGGGTGTACCCTGCCGTGTGCCTGTTGCTTGCTGGGATAGGCTCCGACTCCTCTGCAGCCCTGAACCGGAACCCTGAAGGGGTTAGAAAATGGATGGTTGGCAATATATTATAAACCCCTTGACAGTTTCTACCCAGGGAAATGAACACTTTAATCCTTCCAAAAGGGTAAAAGTGTTTGGCACAAATCTGTTCCACTTAACAGGAAAGGATGGAAATCGATAAGCGCGTCATGAAAGAATGTTACTAATGAAATTCTGAACCCTCCCTTCTCCACGCAGACGAGCTCGACAAGCTGATCACGGACCGGCCGGAGAGCTGCCGCCGGAAAGCGTGTGACCCGGGGATGACCCGCTTGCCCCCCGGGCAGGGCGGCCTGACCCTGCACCCCCCGCTGCCGCCCCAGCCCGTGATGACCCTGTCCCTGCAGTCGCTGCCCCTGCACCACCACCAGCTGCAGGCACAGGCCCGCCTGGCGCCCGGCTCGCCCGCCCCGGCCCAGACCCCACCCCTCCACGCCGTGCCCGACCTCTCCCACAGCCCCCTCGCCCCCCAGCACGGCAAGCCGGCGCAAGACTTCTACAGCCTGCATGGCGACATGAGCGCCGAGGTGGACTCTCTGGACCCCAGCATCATGGACTTCGCTTTACAGGGTGAGTCTTGCAGCCCACACACCTCCGGGCTCCCTCATTTCTTTATCCTTTTCTCAGGAAAAGCACAGTCTAACAGGGCGTCTTAGGAATTACTTAATACTAATGTAGCTGGGTATAATGCTCGAGTACTCTTAATCAACAGGCTACAGTTGCTTATTTTAGGATTTTTTCAAATAAAAGAAACTTACCTCTTCCATTGGTTTCCTGTAACAAATGGAAACCATTTTATAGCTAAGATGCTCGCACCGCTGTGTCAGTTTGCTTGGCCGGGCCTTGTTTGTGCTTTTTGGCCTCGTCTCTCGTGCAAAGCCACAGTCCTGAGAGTATTAACCGCATTTAACAACTGTAAGAAACTGGTCACAAGGCATTTGTATTGGACACTATATTTTACTGTAGCCTAAAATCACAGGTGTAAAAGCAATGCCCTGAAATAATGCAAAAGAATAACGGAACCTCAAGTTTAACCATAGGCCAGTTGCAAAATTGTCATTAACAATGACCAGGAGAGTGCTTATTTGCTAAGATAAGGTTCTCTCATTAATGTCCTCCTCAGGAAATTTGTGGGAAGATATGAAAGATGAAAGTTTCAACCTGGAATCACTGGGCGCCTTCAGCAACTCTCCGCTGCGTCTCTCCGACTGCGAGCTGGGGACGTCTGGCATGACCCCGGTGTCTGGGGGCAGTGACCTCTCCTTCTCTGACCTGCAGGTGACTGGCCTGTATACCACTTACACAACACTGGACTCCGTGTCATCCCAGTGCATGAACACACAGGGCAGCAACAAACCCATCGCCCTGCTCTAACACGTACAGGAGGGGATTTCTTCTGGAGACCTCGGACCTCATCACGGCAAACTACAAGAACTTAAAGAATACAATAACGCAAAATGAAACATCTCCCTTTTCCACAGTGGAATGACTTCTTGAAACCACTCCCTGGCATCAAACCCCACCTCCTCTTAGGTTTGGGGACAACGTGTGTCAGTCCAGCTTGCAACTGCTAGTTGATTGCAGTACCTAGGGTCATTTTTCATCCAGCTAGGTTTCACAGAAGAACATCCCTTTGTCCTCGGTTAGGGCAGACTGATATTTTATGATTTTTATTTTTCGTGCCGTTACACAAAGTAGCAAAGGCACACAAGAAAGGCAGTGAAACCAACACAATACAGTTAATCAGAAGACGGTGAAATTCCTTACACAGATTTTGAGCGGAGAGCTGATGCCACCTATTTCTTCAAGATACAGTATTTGTGTTGGACCTGACCTATCACCAGCATGGACTGGTACCGAGATCTCCAAGCAAAAAATAAACCATAATGGAGAAGATGACGTCTAACCTGTGGTACTGGAGCGCTCCAGTCTTTTAATAGGAGCTTTGTGAGACTGGCCTCGTTGGGACATTTTAAACTTTGAACACTATGAGCGATCATATAAAGAGGATGCTGATGGCCAGCCAAAGGTTTAGAACGCACTGGAAAAGGAGTTCACTTCTTCAGTGCAAAACTGGATTAAGTTGTTTTGTTACCTCCTCTTGTGAATGTTATATTTACAACGATAGTTAAGTGTCCTGTGCTTTTTGTACTTGTTAGACAGTATTACGGTGTATATGTTTATTTATATTTATTGATGTGACACAGTAGTGATGAGACCCATCACTCAGGCAGTGTTTACATTTTCTTGAGCTGCATTATCCCTTAATGTACCAGAATGAGAAAGCGAATTATGAGCTACATCAATGGCGCACTGATTGAATCACAAAAGAGAAAATAAAAATAATCACTCTGCTTCTACCCTTAAGTTGAGTTATGTGTTTCATGCAGTGGTCCAAAACAGACTTTTTAAAAATGTAATTAAATTTTAATATGCAATTAAAAAAAATCTTAAATTTCACCAAAACTTTGGTGAGAGGAAAAAATATACCTTGACAGAATATAGTTTATGGAATCAACAAATTGCCATTTGCTAAACATTCAATCAGGCCGGTTTAACTCATCCCTGAAAAATATCCTTTGGTGTTGTCTTATGGTATCTAAAATTTGAAGAACTAAAAAATGGCTGTAGCCATTGTCTCTTGATAGCTTTGCAGTGTCCTTTCAGAGGGAATACTAATGAAATTGCCTCACATTTTACTGTGTTCTGAGTGTTCCATTAAATAATTGAGACTTTGACGATCAGAATGTGCCATAACATGGCAACAAACTGAACTGGGGATATTGCAGCTTCACTCTTTACTAAGAGTGTGTACAGTGTTTTTTCCTGCAACCATTTTAAAGTTTTTTTTTTACATTCAGGTTTTTACACAGAGGTACTAAAAATTGAAAAGAACTACATTTCTGTATGTAAAACCATCCAACCCTTAGTAATAAATTTGAATGGAAAAAAAATCTACCCAGACTCCTTAGTTTGCATACAGTACATGTACTGATCACTGGAGTGATCTATGTGAGCTTTACGCAGTCTTCTTGAACACTGGATTAAAGGCGCACCATGATTTCCAGTCATTGAAACGTTAGAGGGCAGGCCAGCTTGTTCCAGGTAAACAAGCAATTTTGTAAATGAGAGAAATTAGTGGGACAGTGCAAAACATTTTAAGCTGAAATTCAAGGCTGAACAAGTATTTCTCAGGTCACACTAAAGATACACAACAAAAATATTAAGTGCCAAGACAACTTAGTTTAAAAAAAAAACTTTCTTTGACTCTTTAGAGCAGTGGTTTCCTGCCCTGAAAATGAAGAACTCTTGCCCTTTTGGATTGTCAGCTGCGTTACTGAAGAATTACCTAAATCGCCTCCACCTGTGGCTCTGGAAGCAACTGAAAAGATCTAAATATTCCAAATTATTTTAGTTATGTAACAGACTGCCATCCCTTGACCTCATGAATACCCTTCCGAACCAGGGACCCACCAGTTTAATTCCATTCCTAACTGTTGTGAAAATGCAGCTGTACTGTAGGAAACAAAAAAATGGAACAATTAAATCTTACTTCTAGAGCAGCTGCGTAGCACTGCAGCTCCTGGTCCTGAGTTGGGTTTTGGACTGGGGCACCTGCGGTGTACAGTCCACAGCTCTCCACCTCTCCATATGGATTTTCTTTAGGAGCTTCAGTTTCTTTCCTTAGTCCAAAGACTTCATGTCTAGGTTATAGTCTCTGAATTGGTCCCGGAAAGTGTGTGAGTGAGAGGGTTTACACATTTTCTGTGATGAAGTGTAGCTCTGGCTCAGTACAACCCTCAAAGGATAGGAAATGAAGGGGAACCCTACTTTATAGGTGACCTTTGAAAAGGTTGCAAAAATAGTTCATTTTCTTTTTAACTGAGCGTACACCTATGTCTATCACCTTAGATAAAAAAATACAGTTGTATGCAATTCGTCTTTTCTGCACAAATTTCCCTGGAAGTAATTTCCTTCACAGAGCATCATTCAGCATAAAGATACAACATTCAAGTTCCCTTAAGCATCATTTTATCCAAGACCCAGCTTACAGAGCAAATACCAATGAAAGTAGTTTATTGACTGTAAAACACTGCACAATATGTTTGCACTTATAAACATGTGTAAAGCAATCCTACAAAGCTACTTCATCAGATTACCCCCTACACAGCTCTGAACGTCTGTCATCATACTCAATACTCAAAACTAGTGTTATAATAAATACGTAGTGTGATCAAGCATCTTCAATAAAATATTGCAGGTCTGTATCTTGCAAAAATACAATATGCAACAATTTTGGTTATAGCATTCCAAGGCCACAGAAATAAATGAGGATATTAATCCTTACATAAAACCATTTTGTATCTTTATCAAATTACATATCAAAACATAAGTCATTCATCCCTTACAGGACAAAAGACACTCATAAAATCTTGACTCTGTTGCCCTGTTCTATACAGTAAAAGAGCATCAAAGCTGAAGTGGTTTTGTCTTAGAAGGGGAGCTATCAGACAGTGACATTTATTGGTACTTTGCTACTGACTAAGACTCCCTTTAATAAACTGATTTGCCTCCTCATACTACAGGCTACTACAGAGGTGTAAACCATAAATACAATCACATAAAATCATGTTACTTGTTGGCAATAGAAGGAAGTTAAAATAATAGCATCCCCAATTTCATAAACCCCAGAGTGAACAATAACATCTCATTATAGAGTTCGGCAGCAAAACAAGTTACTTGTTCTTTAACTGGTCCATAAGACACAGAGGAGAGCCTGATCTGAGCATGAGGTATACAAATATTTTTTTCAGTCATGTAAGCAGTCAGTTTTAGTTAACCACAGGATTTATGAAAAATCAAGCCTCATTCAATATGATGAAACTTACTCATTCATATAGAATGTATCAGTAGAAAACTCACAAAAAACAGTAAAATGTCTCATTTTACATCTACCCTTTTTCAAATCTGTGCCACCAAAAGGTAATTGATCCTGTGATTATGTTGCTCTAAGACCAACAGGAGAGCTGAGGAAGAACTAAGCAATATAAACGAATTCTCATTGATCCTTGATAGCATTGCAAATGGGATCTTTTGGTATGCAGTCCACTTATGTTACTGCAGGCATCTTTTTTGTTTTCATTTATTACAGTATATAAAGACATAAATCCCTGAAAACACATGGAAGGCATGACTATCTTAAATTGTTCAGTCTCTATTAAAAGAACTTCATTTTCATTTCCAAATGGGAAGCACAGAAGAGCTTTTTGAAAGGTTGACTGGATTTTTATCTGGAAGAGCCAAGTAGGGGTCAAACGGATATTTCAGTGGTTTCCTGTAGCCGAACATGATACATAAACTAGTGGAAGGGGAACAGAAGAAACTACAGCTCCTGAAGATGGTGCACTTTGTGCAATTGTGCAGCTTGGTGGTATTAATGTGACTTAAATGTATTTAGTTTAGGCAATATGAAAAACCAGCAATACCGAAGGTGATGCTAGAGAAAGGTGTTTTCATATTGATACGAGTGGTAAACTTTTT